TGCCGGTTAGTCTTTTCCCGTGAAAATGACAAAGTCTATGTATTCAAAATCATAGCATCAAGACTAAGAGAGTTCATTCTCTTAGCACAACGTTACATGTGGAACGGACCTAGATAATTCACATGCTAGCCCGACTCAAACGGTAGTCGGTAAAGGCTTATCAAATCCGTTGATGGCTGAGGGTTTGCCAAAAATCCTATGCACGTTTGCAGGACCATCAGCTTAATGGATGTGAGCCGAGACTTAAAACAGATGAGCCAAAGACAAGTCTCAAAGACTTAGTCAAAAATGCACGGAAGCCACTTCCATATCTTAAGTCAAAACGTTGAGGTCAGACCCGCGATGCAAAAACCGAACGCCGAGGTCACACCCGTGTTCCAAATTCAAAATGCAGGGGCCACCCCCACAGTCCAGAAGCAGGATTATGGCGCATACCTTCACACAGGTCCTACGTGCCAAATCCCTTCAACCAAGCTACCTTCGAAATCCCAAAGAAAGAACCCAAACGGTTTAATTCGTTTGGGATATCTTTAGCCCAAACGGTTAAAACCGTTTGGGAGTTATGTTAGATTTTTTTTGGCTAAATACCCATATTGGTATTTTAATTCAACCCCATTTCCCAACAAGGTATTTTAATTAGGAAATTCGGCGATAAGACATTTTAATTGAATAAAAGTACCATTTAGGTCCTTTTTCTCGTCGGCGGCCACTTTTCCGGCGAAAACTCATCACGTGCGTTGCACGTGGGGGATTAATATGTGTTTAAGATGCTGATGTGGCTCTCTATTCTGACGTGGCAGGGAGAATAAAAGAGGGATCGAATTAGGGGAAATTGGGAATTAGGGTTTATGACAGCGGGCCATTGGAAGAGAAGAAGCTATGTCATCGGCATCAAGTTCAAGCTCTCATTCAAGCTCTCGATCTAAAGCAAGCAGGGTGAGTGGAAAATTGGGATCGCATGTAAGTAATAATCATGGTTTGAATTCTTTGGCAGGTATTAGAAGGTGGAACGAGGAAGCAAGGACGGTTGGCATGAAAATCTGTAAGTGTAGAATGGATTGTGGGTATTATACATCATTTACAGATGAAAATCCTGGGAGAATGTTTTATAAATGTCAGAATCCTAATGGTGGCTGTGGAATGTGGGAATGGTTCGATAGACCTCTCTGTAATGTGTCTTCTACTCTATTTCCTATTCTACGAGATGAAATACTTAACTTGAGGAGTGAATTGAAGCTCAGGGATAGGCAGATTCAAAGAGTTGAGGCCGAAGTGAAGGATTGCCATGTTGAAAATGCCAATTTCAGAGACCAGCTCCAGGTTTTATACGATGAGAACGCTTGCTCTTTGGAAGAAATATCAAAATTGAGAGATGAGAGTTTCAGATTAGAGGGTTTGCTTCAATTGGAGAAGAGGAGGATGATGTTGTTGAAGAGAGGAAGTTTGATATCACTTTTGTTTGTAGTCGTTTTTATTGTGTATTTTTTTTTGGTTTATGGACATGGATATGTAATGTTTAAGAGCATATTGTATGAACTTATGAATTTAATGAGAAGAAGCATCAGGACATGAAGATCTGTCACTGTTTATGAGAAAAAATTGTCATGGTATACCCTGTATTCATGTATTATCTTTGTGAGTGAACCTGTACAATATAGTTTTCCTGTGACAAAGCATACTCACAAGCTCATAATCACATTGCACAATCAACATACAAACCAAAAGCCAAACTACATTAGTCACTCTTTGACTGTCATGTGTTTGTCATGATTACAATAACCAGCAACAAGTAAAAAGTCATTCAACTACCTCAATTCTATATATTACCAAAAGCTAAACTATAATTACATATAATTACAACCCACTATTATGTGCACATGAAGCCTGTGTATGCTCCTCTTGGTGTACATCCTGGGTTGAAATTGGAGTTGATTCATGTATGATTGTTGCTTGAGAGGCACTTGGGTCTCTATAAGCTACTTCACCATGATCACCATGCCATAGGCCAAAACCCTCTGGCATAATGACTGCATTATTTCTTCCTTTGCCTCGGCCCCGTCGCATATCACTCCTTCCTCTAGCATTTTGAGATTGAGCTTAGAGAATACATAACAAATTCAGTGCATCAGTAAGCATCTATATGAAAACTTGGTGCACAATGAGTATGTATTGTTCATTACCTCTAGCCATTGATCTTTTATTTATGAAAACTTGAGATGGTGGAAGAGTGTTAGTTTGACTATGCTCTTCAATGGAAATGTTAGGTCTAGTTTTGCTCCCCTTTGGTCTTCCTCTTTTCTTCCTTCCACTTGTGCCTTCATCAAGAACTTGAGATTGATTTTCCTAGAAGTAAATCAATGGGTTGGAACTTCTTGGCTCGTCAACAGGATCCTTAGAGCATTTCTGGAGCTTTGGAGATCGGCAACAAGATCTTCTTCATCCTTGGCTTATAACCGACTTTCGGTTAAATCAACTCTTTCATAGAGTTTCAAACTCGTTCAGAGTTCTCCACAACGTCAAATCGTGAGGAGAAGACCACGTTCCAGTGAAATAGGACATCGGATCGTCAACGAGAAGTTGGGTCTCCCCTTTGGCCTTCTAACAATATTTGGGGGTAACACCATTCCCTCTCCCTCTGTATCCCAATAATTACTCCCTTGTACTGGATTTAACATTCCTCCATAGGCAATCAAATAGTTTTCTTGAGAATACATCTCTGATAAGTACATTTCCGTTTCTTTTACTGCAAATTTTCCACAAACAATTGCATGTGTGCATGGTATTCCTGTCAAGTCCCAATTCCTACATGTACATGTCATATTTTTCAAATCTACTGCATGACTTTGCCCTCTATGGATTATCTCAAAATCAGTTTTATTCTCATCACCATTCCAATGGGCACGGCAATGAACTTGCTCCTGATATGCTTCCTCCAACTTCTTATGAATTCTAGGTGCAACTCCCCCCACAAATTTACTCACCAGTTTCTTTTTCTCTTGCATTCTATCCATTATAGAAAATCTAATATCCTCTAGCATGGACACTATAGGTTTATATCTTGCAAGTCATATAAAAGAGTTGAATGTTTCGGCCATGTTGTTGTCTACAACATCACATTTACTGTGGCATTTGAAATGAGACTTACAGAATGTGTTGGGGTCTCTAGCCATGAAGTCTTCATAAGCTTGCTCTGAAATTATCCTTAGCTTGGCAGCTTCAGTTTGAAAAATTGGCATAGAGGTGGCTTTAACACATTTCCAGAATTGACTTTGCAGGACCCTCCCACTATGAATTTTCCTCCAATTAGAATAAATGTGCCTAGCACATTGCCTATGCTCAACTGCTGGCCACACTTCATGTATAGCAGGAACCAATCCCTGAAATGCAAAGTAGGAGGAAAATTTGAGATCATGAAAGCAAACTTTGAGTTAATCACAATGAGTTCATGAAAGAAAAATTTGAAATAAAGATAGCATTGCACAAACCTTTTGTTGGTCTGACACAACTGTCCAACCATTACCATCATTCATGTTTAGATCCACAGTCAATATTCTTAGGAACCATTGCCATGAGTTCCTTGTCTCCCCCTCAACCACTGCCCATGCTATGAGCCACATTTGGTTATTATCATCCCTCCCCACTGCACAAAGTAATTGCCCTCCACAAGCATGTTTCAAAAAACAACCATCAAGACCAAATATTCTTCTACACCCCAAAGTGAAACCCATCTTCAATGCCTCAAAACAAACGTAAAATCTAAGAAATGTTCTTGGTTGTCCTGCCTCTCTCTCAGCTACCTTCAGAACACAAGTAGTACCTACATTTGACCTCATTAGTTCTTTCATGTAAGGTTTTAGCAAGCCATATTGTCTTTGCATTAATCCTTGGACTGCATTTAGAGCTTTCTCCTTCCCCCTCCTACATTTTTTCAATGAGACATTAATTTGTAAATTCTCATAAATGTCAGATACAATGTTAGTTGGCTTCATCTTTGGATCCTTCAGAATTTTATCAAGATAAACATGTGCAATCCAGTTATTAGTTATTAATCTATTTTTAAAAGTCCTGCAGCAAGTATGATCATGATTAATAAATTTTATTTGCCAAACACCAGCCTCATGACAATCTGGACCAGCAGTCATCTGCCAAAAGCAAAGTGAACAACCCATGTGAATCCTCTTAGTGTCATTCTTCATGTACACTAGATCATAGTGCTGTTGAATAGAATAATTTAGAATAGCCTCCTTTAACACACTCCTAGAAGTAAACTTTAACCCTGAAAAAGAAATTAAACACAAATGATTAGTTTTGACAATGATGTATAATTAAGACAACACAATGAAGTAATTATTGCAGTGCATACCTGGCTCAAAATGCACAGCTTTCATATCCACTCTCTCATTGAAATACTTGTAGTTCACTCTTTCTTTTTTTTCTTTTTCATATTGATCTCGGGTGCTTCATGATCACTGTCAAATAATGGTCCCTCATCATTACTGCTTCTTTGATCACTCTGATAGCCTCATTCATAATTTGTCCAAAAACTAGGCCAGTTTTGAGTTTTAGGAATTGTGCCTCTAGAGTTTGGACCTACTACATTCAATCCCACAATATGTGACATATGCGATTCTGCAATATGTGATGGGTTATTACCAGCATCTGTATCATGAATATGGGTGGAACTGGTGTTGACTTCATTAGCTTGTTGTGGTTGTGGTTCAGGTTGTGCTTCATTAACTGTAGGAGGGGGACCATCTACATCATCTACCAATCTTGCCCCAGTATTAAATGCTATTCTACCCTTCTCCTCCTCTAAAATTTTCTTATTTTTTTGCCTTATTTCAAACAACTCATCATCATCACTTCCTACTGGGCTCTTATGACTCTCAATATCTTCAGATTCTGCTGAGTCTATATCTCCACCATCATTCTCATCTACATTCTTATTTGTTTTCATTATTTGCTTTCCCTTTCTTGATCTATTCTTTGCACTAAACTCATCAAAATAATTCCTTATCTTCACCATCATCATCATGCAATGGCTCTGTGGGATCAACCCTGAAATTTTTATCCTCCACTGAGTCATCATCATCATCACTAGAAGATGTTTGTGCAGATTTGTGAGGGGGTGAATTGGAGGGACTGGGCAGTGGTGATTTGGAGGGAATTGACAGTGGTTCAATAGTAGGGTTTGAAACACTCACTTGGCCCTCTTTTACATCTACTCTTTTTTTGGGTGTTAACTTCTTTCTCCTAACCATAGGAATATTTCTTTTAGGAGATGTAGCAACTGAAGTAGGACCTTCTATCACTTCTAATGGCATGTCAACATCGTGATTTGCATAGATTTCTATCACTCTGTGCCTCAATGCATGCTCAATCATTTCTGCAAGATCCTGATCTGAATTTAGAGGCTTTAAACCTCCACTAGCCAGTCCTACACTAGGAATAGAATAATACAACATCCCGACATTGTTATAACCATATTCTGTAACACTAATCTTCAATTGTTCTAATGAAATATCTTCTGCATCACAAAACTCAACATCAACTGAACCACCAATATATGCCACATTACTTCCGAAGTCCAATGACCCCCCATGTCTATATTTAATCATAATTTGCGTAGCCATCTGCATAATTTACGAAAAATGATAATAATTCTATCAAATTCAACCCATTATTTGGAAAAAACCACAACTTTGAAAACCCTAATTCTATCAAATCTAACAAAATATAAGTACATTTTAGGTTTATCTTACATTTAACTCAAACTAAATACGTGATTAACTTATCCTCTTCAAAGCCACCAAAAGATTTCATACGTATAATGAGAATCAAACCTTCGCATTCCTGTCAACCCGTACCAAGTCGTCGTCCTCCGCAAATCACCTAATGCATGCACCGAGGAACACCATCAGTTGAAATCTCTGCAATCTATCGCCTTCAACTGCCTCAACGATGATGGCTCACTCTCTATTTCTCCCTCTCTCGCGCTCAAATTCTGAAAACGAAAGGGAGAATATGTCCTATTTTGGGTGGGAATTGGTTTTTAGAGGGTTATTCTCCTTGCCACGTCAGAAAACAGAGCCACATCAGCATCTTAAACACGGATTAAGCCCCCACGTGCAACGTACGTGATGAGTTCTCACCGGAAAAGTGGCCGCCGACGAGAAAAAGGACCTAAATGGTAATTTTATTCAATTAAAATGTCTTATCGCCGAATTTCCTAATTAAAATACCTTGTTGTCAAATGGGGTTGAATTAGAATACCAATATGAGTATTTAGCCACAAAAATAATAAAGAAATTGTATTATAGTTATCTTTTCCATAGTATTCAAAAATTGAAATACAGTCATACACACGGACACAGGCACACATCAATACATGTACATACACTTGCCACGGATGTTTTTGTGCCCTGCATGGGTGACTTGCTCACAATGCTGAATTATTTATTTATTTATTATAAATCTCATTATTGCTTGTTGCAACGAAGAAGATCAAAGAACAAGTAACAATAATGCCCATCAGTTAGGTTTAACATTCCGCATAATTCAACAAAAACTAGCCACAGGTATATAGTTTCCCTTCAATTATAGTATAAATTTTCTCTCTGAGCCTCTGTATTCACAAGAATGAAAACAAAGCCACAAACTACATCAAACAAACAAAACAAAACCCAGTACTATCCTACGAACTTGGGCTTGAATGCAAAGCAACAAGAGAAGCGTAAGCTCCATCAACCAGCTGCATGAGCTCCTCATGCCTCCCTTGCTCTGCAATAACCCCATTCTTGACCACAGCGATAATATCCGCTCCCTGAATAGTCGACAGCCGGTGAGCAACAACAACGGCAGTCCTCCCCTTCATCACTCTATCAAGAGCTTCTTGCACTACTCTCTCAGACTCAGCATCCAAAGCACTAGTAGCCTCATCAAGAAGAAGTATTCTCGGATTTTTAATGATTGCTCTGGCTATAGCTATTCTTTGTTTTTGCCCTCCTGAGAGCTGAACTCCTCTTTCTCCAACATTTGTATCGTAGCCATGAGGGAGGCTTGATATGAAACGGTGGGCATTTGCTGCTTCAGCAGCAGCGGTTATTTCATCTTCTGTGACTTCGCCTTTTTTTCCATAGGCGATGTTGGATCTTATGGTTCCTCCAAATAGTACTGGTTCTTGGCTCACGAGACCCATTTGTTGTCTGAGCCAATCCAGGTTGAGCTTGTTTATTTCTGTACCGTCTAATAGTATTGTGCCAGAGTCGGGGTCGTAGAATCTCTCGAGGAGGCTGATAACTGTTGATTTTCCACTTCCACTTTCTCCAACGAGCGCAACAGTCTGTTCAAGAAAAAAAAGTTCAAATATAAACTGTCAGAGATGTAACAGATCAGAATTTTCTGAGCACGTAAATGATGTGCATAAATTACAAAGTTTCTGTTGTGATAATTAAATACAAAACCAGAAAAATAGAGAGACAATCACAAACACACAATGTTTACGTGGTTCGATCAAATTGATCTACGTCCACGGCAAGAGAGGAGTTTTACTATATTCAATTTCTCAATGCAACCCACATACAAAATTTTGAGAGGAATCTGGTTTTTGTGTAGCTCTCACACTTCGGTTCTGAAACGCACAGAGAGTTTAAGAGAGAATGAGATCTTACATAAATCCAACAGGGGGACACCTTAATATTACCTCTCTTTACCCGAAGTGACATCAATGACAACGACCTCCCTTTTACAAAATTTCTTCGGCATCAGCCGCAATTGTTGAAAGATCTTTGAGAAGAGAAGTGAGGGTGACTTGACAGCGACCTCCCTCCCCTTTCAAAAAACAAAATAGGCCCTGGTCATTTGGACAAATTCAAGCCAATATCAACAATCTTCACCTTGGATTGAATTTTCAAACATCAAGAAATTGAATATTCATCATGAACACAGCTAACGTGAGAGTTCACTTCATAATAGAACAAGTGAAACTCGACCCCCTCTTGCAAACAATGCTCCAAACGGGGCCATCTAACAAGTGCGAATGCCTCCCAAATTCAAGCAGTGCTTGAACTTGAAGACTGGGATCGGTTTGGTCAACATATCAGCTGGATTGTTTGCAGTACCAATCTTCTTCATCGTGATGTTTCTTTCAGCAGTTGCCTCACGAATAAAATGATATCTGACATCAATATGCTTTGTCCTCTCATGATGTGCTGAGTTTTTGCTTAGATGTATTGCGTTCTGATTGTCGCAAAATACAACTGAACTATCCTCCTGCTAAAGTCCAAGCTCCCTTACGAGATTTCTCAACCAAATGGCCTCTTTTACCGCTTCTGCTGCTACCATGTATTATGCCTCTGTAGTAGACAAACTGCCTCTGTAGTAGACAAAGCAACTGTCGACTGTAGAATTGATCTCTAACTAATAGCTAAGCCAGAAAGAGTAAACAAATAACTATTCAAAGATCTTCTTTTATCGAGATCACCTGTATAGTCAGAATCCATAAAACCTACAATTGAGGTTCCCAAAGTACTGCTATCAAAAACTAAACCCAAATCTGAGATACCCCTGAGATACCGAAGGATCCACTTCACTGTTTCTCAGTGTGCCTTCCCTGGTTGAGTCATATATCTGCTCACTACACTGACTGCCTGGGCAATTTCTGGACGAGTGCAAATCATAGCATACATAATGCTACTTACTGCATTAGAGTATGGAATTCGGGTCATCTCCTTCTTCTTGTTCTCACTTGTAGGTGAATCTGAAGCCGAGAGCCTAAAGTAAGGAGCCAAAGGAGTCGTAACGGGCTTGGCCCTCTTCATATCAAAACGTTCAAGTACCTTTTCAATATAACTCTTTTGTGAGAGATATAATGTTCCAGTTTTCCTGTCCCTCCTGATCTTCATACCTAAGATCTTCTTTGCTGCACCAAGATCTTTCATCTCAAACTCATCACTGAGTTGTTTCCTCAAAATAAGAATCTGCGACATGTTCTTAGCAACAATAAGCATGTCATCGACATATAACAGAAGATAAATAAAAGAATAATCTCCTAGATACATGTAGTACACACAACTATCATAAATACTTCTTGACTACCCATGACTAAGCATAAAATTATCAAACATCTTGTACCACTGTCTGGGAGATTGCTTCAGGCCATACAAAGATTTCTTCAATCTGCAAACTTGATCTTGTCTGGGAGATTGCTTCAGGCCATACAAAGATTTCTTCAATCTGCAAACTTGATCTTCTTTACCTTCTACGAAGTATCCCTCTGGCTAGGCCATACAAAGATTTCTTCAATCTGCAAACTTGATCTTCTTTACCTTCTACGAAGTATCCCTCTGGCTAAGACATGTAGAGTCTCCTCAAGTTCGTCATGTAAAAAAGTAGTCTTCACATCAAGCTGCTCAAGCTTCAGATCAAATAGAGCAACCATGACAAGCAATACACGGATGGACGTATGCTTCACAACCGGAGAAAGCACTTCATCATAGCCAATTCCCTTCTTTTGTCTATAACCCTTAGCTACCAACCGTGCTTTGAATCTAGCATCTTCAATCCCTGGGATCCCTTCTTTCTTCTTGAAAATCCACTTACATCCAATTATCCTTTTACCCTTAGATAATTTCACCAAATCCCAAGTCTAATTCTTATAAAGTGACTCGAGTTCTTTTGTCATAGTCGTAGCCCAACGTCCAGATTCTCCACATGAGACAGCTTCAGTAAAGTTTGATGGCTCTTGAATACACATCTTTTCAGCTGTCGTGAGAACATACGCCACTAATTCAGCATGTGCAAATCCTTGAGGAGGTCTGATCTGTCTCCTCTCTCTGCCAGTGGCTATGGAATAAGGTTCTTCAGTCTCAGCATCATCATCATCTGAGCCTGAATCATGTTTCTCTTCTACAACTGTAGGAGCAATTTTTATAGCCGACTTTTGAGAAGTCTCTCTCTCGAGCTCTACCTGAAGCTTCACCTTGTCCATGGTCTTCTCTACATTTTCTGTAGACTCAACAAAAACCTTTCCATGATCAAGCATATATCTTTCATTAAAAGTAACATCTCTACTAATAATGAATTTAGAAGAATCAGATTCAAGACTCCACAAACGATAGCCTTTAACGTCATCAGCATAACCAATAAATATGCATTTCTTAGCTCTAGGCTCAAGCTTATCCTCTCTAACATGATAGTAAGCGAGACATCCAAATACCTTTAAATTTGAATAGTCATTTGGTTTACCTGACCATATCCCATTTGGAGTCTTGTGTTCAATGACGGTAGAAGGAGACCGGTTCACCAAGTAACAAGTTGTGTTAACAGCTTCAGCCCAAAAGTTTTTATCCAACCCAGAGTTTGAGAGCATACACTTAGCTCTCTCTGTCAACGTTCTATTCATGCGTTCTGCCACCCCGTTTTGGTGAGGAGTGTGTCTGACCGTGCGATGTCGTACGATCCCAAAATTTGAGTAGAACTGATTGAACTCACCACTCCAGAACTCTAGGCCATTATCTGTTCGGAGACGTTTAATCTTCTTTTCAATTTGATTTTCAACAAGTACTTTTCACTTATTGAAAGTTTCGAACACCTCGTTTTTGCGCCTAAGAAAGTAAACCCAAACTTTCCTGAAAAAATCATCAATAAACGTCAGAAAATAAAGAGCACCACCTTTGGATGGAACCTGAGCAGGTCCCCACAAATCTGAATGGATGTAGTCGAGAGTGCCCTTCGTCGTATGTGAGCCAACCGAGAAGCTGACCCGAGTTTGCTTCCCAAACACACAATGCTCACAGAAATCCGATGATGATGTATGATCACCATAGAGTAAACCACGTTTACTCAAAATAGTCATCCCATTCTCACTCATGTAGCCTAAGCGCATGTGTCACAACTGAGTAGTGTCCCTATCAGCATCAGAGGACACACCTGCAGAGCTGTCACCGTACTGCCTTGGAGAACATAAAGACTGTTCACCTTACAACCTTTCATCACAACCAATGAACCCTTAGTAACTCTAAGAGCTCCACTCACCAGTGTAAGAACACCCAATAGAATCCAAAGAACTCAAAGAAATCAGATTTTTCTTTAAGTCCGGGATGTGTCTCACATCTGATAAAGGTCTCACTATCCCATCGTGATACCGGATACGAACTGTACCAATACTAACTGTCTTGCAAACTGTATTGTTGCCCATCAAAACTGATCCACCACTTATAGATCTATAAGTAATGAACCAATCTTTATTTGGACACATATGATAAGACGCACCCATATCCAAGATCCATTCTCTATCGAAACATCCATTAAGGGACAAACTGCAAGAACCGTCTCAGTAACAACGATAGTATCAGCCTTTACCGTATTAGCTGAATCTGAGGTTTCACCACGCTGGTTGTCTTTCTTCTTTAGAGCATAGCATTCTGACTTGTAATGCCCTTTCTTGTGACAGTAGAAACATAGCATTCTGACTTGTAATGCCCTTTCTTGTGACAGTAGAAACACTCCACATGTTTCTTGTTTTGGGCTAATCTGAACTTTGAACGATTTCTGGATTGCCCTTTATCACTCTCTGGTCTTCGTTCTACCTCTGCCTAGCAGACCATCAACCTGCCTATCGGTACCTCTCTCATTCAACTTTGTTCTTAACTCAGCAGAATTCAAAGAGGCCTTCACATCCTCAAGACTTATGGATTCTCTTCCATACAACATAGAGTTAACAAAGTTTTCATAAGAGAGGCAAGGAACACAACACAATGCGAGCCTAGTCTTTATCATCATGCTTTAGATCCAGGTTTTTCATATCCATGATAATTTTATTAAATTCATCAAGGTGTTCCTAAATGGGTGTACTTTCCTTCATCTTTAATGTGTATAGCCGCTGCTTCAGGTATAATCTCGTAGTAAGAGATTTCTTCAAGTAGAGACTTTCGAGCTTTGATCACAACCCAGCTGCCGTTTCCTCATCGGCAACTTCATGAAGCACATTGTCGGGTAGTGACAATTGCAAGGCGCTGTGAGCCTTTTCGTCCATCTCTTCGATCTCGGCACTAGTCATATCTTATGGATATTTCCCATCGATAGTTTTAACTGTGCCGTCACGTCGCAACAAAGCCTTCATCTTTATCCTCCATAGGCCAAAATTGTTCTGGCCATCGAAGATCGACACCGAGAACTTCACAGAAGCCATTGTGGAGGATTGAAAGCTGTCCTAGAACGGAGAAGCTCTGATACCAGTTTGTTGTGATAATTAAACACAAAACCAGAAAAATAGAGAGACAATCACAAACACACAATGCGTGGTTCGATCAAATTGATCTACGTCCACGGCAAGAGAGGAGTTTCACTATATTCAATTTCTCAATACAACCCACATACAAAATTTTGAGAGGACTCTGATTTTTGTGTAGCTCTCACACTTCGGTTCTGAAACGCACAGAGAGTTTAAGAGAGAATGAGATCTCACATAAATCCAACAGGGGGCCACCTTGATATTACCTCTCTTTACCCAAAGTGACATCAATGACAACGACCTCCCTTTCACAAAATTTCTTCGGCATCAGCCGCAATTGTTGAAAGATCTTTGAAAAGAGAAGTGAGGTTGACTTGACAGCGACCTCCCTCCCCTTTCAAAAAACAAAATAGGCCCCGGTCATTTGGACAAATTCAAGCCAATATCAACAGTTTCTTCTCTATCTGGTATGATTTTAACAATGTAATTTGCAAATAAGGGCGTGATAAAAATTATAATGTTCGACTTTCCTTGTTAAGACAATATAAGAAGAAACTTAATCACACTTGCATTCCTCTAGCATGCCAGATGAATTTTCCAAGGTAGACCAGTTTTTTATGGTTATTTAGTAACAAAATAAAAAGCTAGTCTCTTCTTACAAGTAAGGGTAGACTGATGAGACCAACGTGACATACAATTGTAATATCCTCAATAAGAGATTTACACTCTATTTAGTAGATTAGAGACAATATAAACGATCTCTGGACTAAAAGAAATTGTGAGAACTTTGTTTATTTTGGTGTGAATAGATTTTTTCCGAAGGAATCAGTTAATTTCAATCAACTAATCGAGTGCATTATCATGGGGAACGACACAAGTGTACCTTGCCAGATGGAATGCTCAAGATCAAGTCCCTGAAAATCTGCACGGTAGGACGGCTTGGATATTTGAAGCTGACATGCTTGAATTCAATTTCTCCTCTCACATGCGCGAACACTGTTCCCTCATCAATGCTTGAATCAATCTTAGATTTACGATCGATAAGTGCAAAAATTGAAGCAGTTGAGTCCATAGCTTTATTGATGTCTGGACCGAATGCACTTGACTGTGAAATTCCAATCGCTGCCATGGTTAAAGCATAGAATACCTGTCAATGCGAAAGATAAAAAAGAAAACATAAAAAGATTGTGAGACATGATTAGCATCAAGGAAAGGAAATTCGAAAAGTTGGGTACAGTGTCGCCAACCTTAAAAACATCACCAAAAGTTGCAGAACCATTATGTATGAAATGAGCTCCAACATAGAAACATAGAGCATATGCACAGAAGAGACAACAATTTGATAAACCAAAACATCCACCATTTATTAGTCCTTGTCGAACTCCATGGTTCATTGGGCCTTCACATTTCTTTGTGTAAGCAGCAATAACTTTCTGCTCTGCACAAAAAGAAGCAACTGTGCGAATGCTACTAACTGCATCACTGGCCACCTGGCTCGCCTCTTCATACATCACCTGCAGCCAAACTTTCACAAAATTTAACATTTGGTCCAGATATATGTTTATAGGTTGCTGAGAGGACAAAAGATGGTATAAAGAATATACATTACCTTTGCATCTCCACTAAATCCCTTCATTGACATCATCTGAATAAATCCTTGTGAACCCACGAAAGGCAACAGTACTAAGATTATAAGTGACAGTTTCCAATTAGCAATCATGGCGATTAATAGCCCTGATGTAAATGTGGCTATGTTTTGAACCCATAATGACACCAAATCTCCTACCAAGCTTTTCACTGCTATAGCATCTGATGATAGCCTTGCCCCAATTGCTCCACTGGATCAAAACAAATTTTTATTCAACTGAGCTGAAACCTTATCGTGATCTAGACTAATCGGCTCTTCAAATTTATGATCGGCATCGTACATCTTTTTCAAAACACCTTTAAATGTATATAATGAAATTTACACATAATTTGGAGTCTTCTTGTAATACCCCGGAAATATTTACTAGCTTATTTATTTATAAAGTTTCATTAATAGTCAAAAACATTATTAAAATATAATATGATGGAGTAATATGGTTCAATTGTATCTAGTTGATTGCAAATCTTGGGAGTCTAGATATGACATGTCATTATTGGGAGAAATACAGAAAGTTGGGGTGCTATGGAAAGAAACCGTTAGAAAAATTAGGTACAAAGTTAGAAACTCAGCCAGATAAGGCGGATGTTAAATGGATGAGTAACCATCATAGTGGAATATTTTGTTATTATTTGGTACTATTAATTTTCAATAAATGTTCTACTTAAGGGTTAATTAAGATAAATGTTATGCATGACACACTACCCATTAAGGTGTCAAGAAAACAGTCATTCACGTACACTTGGAATTTCACCTCAACGCCATCTACTAGTACTAGTTCTATTTCGAAAAATTAAAAAGAAAAATCGTTAATTCTCTTTCACGACCCTTCTCTCTCCTTCTTTACCCTTCAAGTGGCCGGGTACCCTTCCATGCAAATCTCAAAGTTTATCATCAAGTACCGTACAAATTTCAGCAAATTAAAGTTATGCTAGTTGGAGATTCATTATTAAATGTTAGAAGGAATTTTGGGAAGAAAAGGGACTCATATTAAGGTATGTAACCTGATCCAAAGTTGGTTCGCGTTAGTCACCATTATCCTTACAATAATCCACATAGAAATTGAATTCAATGATGTAAAACTGAAAATGGCTTATTTTTATGTGATAGTAAATGATCTTGGAAGAAATAGGACAAAGATTGGATCTATAATATGATATTGGTTTGAGATGGACTTGTTTGACATCAAAGATTGATGTAGAATAATAACTAATTTTCATAGCGCATCTATGTAAAAACTAATGAAGTCTAAGAAATTTATCTCGAACATGAGAAAAGGATGATATCTGTGTAACTTTCATGCAGTTAGTAAAGCTTCAGAAGAAAGTAATATGATTTGGATCTGAAAGTATAGAAATATCAGTACTAGAATTTATAATTCTGTACACAGGAATTTCAGACCCACCTATAGTAAAACGTTCACAACTTCTTCTTCATAATTCGTATCATGATCTGTTTAAGGCCTTAGAAAGCCAATAGAAATACCTATCCATTGATATATAATTTGTAACCATATAATTTTGTGTGAGATCCTAAAACAGTTATATGAACTGACTGATATGGCAAAATCCTGTACATAGAATTCTGTACACAGCTGTGTTCATTCTCCGACTTTGATGTTGAAGATTAGGAATTTAGCTCAGACACATAGTAGGTAACAACTTCTTGTTTTCTATCATTAGCTTGATTTTCTTATGCAACCTTGTGCGTAAAATGCTCCCAATTGATATTCTGTTCTTGTCGATTGGTGTCATTGGATACTTTCCTTTCAAATGGAAATTGATGTTTAGTTGTACTATTTGTTGATCATGAAATTGATGCTAGTAAAGTTGTTGTTTTCTTTTTATGCTCTATTTCGGTGGACCAGTGCCCCGTGTGAAGTAACACTTCACCGGTGGGTTTATAATTGAAGGCATGCATGAGATATAGTCTCGTGATAGAGAACCAATACCCTGTGTGAAGTAGCACTTCATTGGTGGGTTTATAATTGAAGACATGTGTGTGATGTAGTCCCATGAATGGGAACAACTCAGAATTATAATTGAAGGCATGCGTGTGATATAGTCCCGTGAATGGGAACAACTCAGAATCCTAGAAATAGAGCATGTTTGTCGAGAAATAGAGCATGTTTGTCGATTGATTGGCACTCTTGAGATTTCAATTCTCATATTCGTATATTTTGTACTCCTCTATATTTGATCATTCTGTTGGTGAAAAAATAATTTTCTTTGAATAACCTACTGAGTCTTTCACTCACTATATACACACACACACACACACACACTGACACACACACATACATAAACACACATATACATACATTCATACATACATATATATACATACATACATGCACACACATATACATATACATAAACACACACATATATATACATATATGTGTGTGTGTGTATACATACAAACAAAACACACACACATATATATATATACATATAAATATACATATACACACACATATATACACATATATATACAGATATATGTGTGTGTGTGTGTGTGTGTGTATACACACACACATACATACACACACACACATATATATACATATACACACACACACATACACATATATATACATATATGAGTTGTGTGTATATATATATACATGCATACATACATACATACATACATACATACATATACACTCATATATATATATATATGAGTGTGTGTGTGTGTGTATAATATGTATGTATATGTATGATATTACAGGGAGTCTACCTACATATATATACATACACACACACACATATATACATACATGTATGTATATATCTATACAGACACACACACACATATACGTATATATGTTTATGTGTGTGTGTGCATATGTACACATATGCGCACACACACACATATACACATATATATATATATATATATA